TCAAAGCACTGACTTCAGAGAGCTTCTGTAAAGGTATGAAAGGTGAACCTAGCACAGATATTACTCAGGTTTTGTGTCCTTTCTGTTCTGCTCTCCATTTCCCTAGTATAGTAATAAAATACTTGTTTAATTTTTCCTAGTTCTCATTGTGGTCAAAAGAATACCACTTTGTGCACAAGACTTTACTTCAGGTACGATACTAGTTGCAGGCATTGGTTTCTACTGTCTAACATTTAAAATTTGATTCTTTGTGAGGCATTTGAGGAAAAAATGTTTATAGCCGATTTTTTTCAAGAAAAGGGTCCTCTTCTTTAATATGTGTATTCAAGACAAAGATTAAGCAGTTTTCATATTTCAGGTGTTTTAAAACTGGAATCCAGACCAAACAGAGGTAGTCTTGACTCCCTGAGATAGTCAATGTAGATCAGTCCTACATCTTAGAAGGCAAAGCTGCTCCATCTATCTCAATAGAGCCTCAGCGCACAATGTAGTCTAAGACTCATGAACATCTCACTCTGTGTCATCCACAAGAACTGAAGTGATGCCTCTAAGAAGGTTATTAATAATGCCTAATTACAAGTTGGATTTACAGGCATCTTTAGTGAGTATTATCCAGTAATTGTGGGGCTACTACATATAGGTATATTAAACTGACTCCTCAGATGTGATGTTTATCCATTTGCTAGCTTGTCATGTTTGTTGCATCTTTACCACTTTTCCAGGAGATATATTGCAGCAAGGGATTTCTTGTTTCACTTTTCCTTTTCTCTGAAGTGATGTCTTTCCTGCTGTTTTTCTTACTGATTGCTTAACCTGGTGGATGAATTTATTGGAATCATCCAAAGTCTTGGTTCTGGCTGATTATGTTACTCTGAGGAGCACTTTTCTAAGCTAGTGGAAGGTTGTGCATAAAAGTTCAAATAGTAGGGGTTTTATACATGAGCAAAAGGGAAACGATCTTGTGAAAACAATAGCTAGAGTTGGGGGTAAGGGTGTGTGTGTGAAACCTGTTTGTAAATCCTCCATAAGTGCACCACAATTTGAACTGCTGTTTAAAAGATAACCTAGAAGTTCATAGGCATTCAGTCATTTAATAGATGCTTTAATAATAGCAAGAGCCTGTTGTGGTTTTTTTGGGGAGGTTTTACAACCAGCCCTCCTTTAGGTTCTGTGCAACTCTTACAATGTAAAGAAACTGGAAGCAGTTTTAGGTGTCTCTTAATAGTCATTTGTGGGCCCAAAAGAAAGACGAACATACCACTTTTGCAGACTATTATGATGGAAAGAGAGCGTTCCCCAGTGTTTGCTAGAGTTAAATAGCTGTGCAGTCTCCTCTGCAGGCAGACATTTGAGAGCTCATCTGTTTTTTATAAATGATAAAGGCTATAGTTTAATGTTTTCCTGTGTTTTAAAAATGAAATAATACTTAGGCTTTGTGTGTGGTATGGAAGGAAAGCATTGTTAGTACTCTGCCAGATAGTAACCAATAGTATTTATTTCACTTCTGTTTCTCGCTTGGTTTGCCTTATGGTGAACCAAGTCCATGCTTCTATATGTTTTATTACTGTATAAGAGTGTAAGAGCGATGGAGGTTAAGAGCTTTTGGAGATCAGTATCTAGCTTGTAATATTAAATCCAGTAGGATGTCTTCTCACTTGTTAACTAGAATACATTAAATACAAGCAATTCTAGACCAGAGAAGAAATCTAAAAATACTTAATGAACTCAAAATAGTAGCTATTGTTAACCATAGCAGCGTACCATGTGGTTTTGACTACTGCTGTGCTATTGTTTTAATTTAATGAAAACCCAGAATTCTGTCAACTTAAAATATCTAGGTTTGGGAGGGAAGAGGATAAGGTTACAGGCTGTCAAAAGAATTTATGATTTAACATGAAGTAAGGTAGGGCTTGACTTAAAAAGTCAGAGGGGAAGAAACAGAATTCTAGCACAGGTCAGGATTCTTGAAATGAGCTTGTAGGCTGCAGTTGCCCATGGCAGGGAATATAGAATTTAGCACAGTCAGAAAAATGTCACTGGGGAAAGTACTCTGAAATTGTTGGGTTTGGGGTTTTTTTTTTTAACCCTCTATTAATTTATAGTTGGAAAACAGTTACCTTGAAAAATACTATGTATTCTCAGGTATATTTAATGACCATCCTATTTTCAATCTTAAGTTTTCCCTATTTCTAAGTCTGTATAGAGGGAAAGTAGGCCTCATCTAGGAAAAGCACTGGTCAGTTATTGTTTGCGGTTACCAGATTCAGATGTGTTTGTATAACCAAAAACTTGGGGTAAATTCCGTAACTTGAAAGGTGTCTTAAGGTTTGTCCAGACTTGAAACCTGGTTATATTGTCAGTTCCACAAAGAACAGCAAGCTAATGTTGAAAACTACTTAGTATGTCCATGTTGTCCCTTCCTCCATAGGTCTTGTTTGTTTATTGAAGCACTGATTAAAACAGCCCTTGCATACAAAGCAGACATGACAGCTTAGATCTGTCATGAGTTGTCAGATTTGTGCTTGAAACCTTTCTAAAGTCAGTCAGTCCTAGAACACCATATTGAGTCTCCATCATCCTTTTCTGCTATTTATCTGTTTTTAGTAATAACCTTAAGCTATCAATAGTACAAAAAGAACTGGTGAACCTGGGCTATCTGTGAGCAAACTTTCTTCTGTACTGTTTATTTTGGTCTGAGTTCAGAGCTGTTGATTCTTTCTACTTGCTGTTTGTCCTCTCCTTTCTTTGGGTCAAAGTCTGATACTGTTACTGCAGGAAATAAACTGAAATAAGGCAGGAGAGGAAATAATCTGTGCTCTTAATGAGGAAGAAAAATACAATACTTTCTGAAGAAGTGAAGCCATAAATCCACCAAAATCTTAAGCTAACCCAGACAATACTTGAGTAGGCAGAGCACGTTACTCATTGAGGAGTATTCTTCCTTATTCTCTTATCACAGGGTTCTGTTTTGTATTCATTTGTCAGTTCATAATGTGAAAGATTTTTATCAGCAAATATGCAACCTTTTATTACAAAGTTCTGCTGTCTGCTGCTAGCCTACTGTAATTGTTTGCCTTTCAGAGGTATCATGACTCTGATACTGGCATGGGTGAAATCCAACAAGTATAAATTGACCACTGACATCTGTACTGCTGGGTGAAATGGGGGGGGGGGGGGGGGGGAGCTTCTTCGTATTAGTCTTCATTCTCCTTATTTTTATTGATGTGTGGTTTGTTTGAGCTCATTTTCTCCTGTTTTGTGTCCCTTCTTGAGAAGGGTTGGGGTGGATGGGAGAAAATTTAGTCTATAGTGCTTTTTCCTAAACTGTGTAAATGTTGGCTGTGGCTTTTTTTGTTTGTTTTTACCCTGAACTGTGTCAAAAGCCCTGCAGATAGAGGAGAAATTAGTGCCTGGCATGATCTATTCTTATTACGGATTTAAGGTGCCATGGAACTGGCAGACTCGCATCACTGTTACTGAGGAAGGGTTCCTGGAAAGTCTTTGAGTGATTGAAAGGATGTACTTGGCTAAACTACTGTGTTCAGAGAAGGAAAGGAAAATTAGAGCGGGTTTATGTGACCCAAATAATTTTTCTATTGAGAGTGGAAAAAGCAGTAAGTCTTGTTTGGTTCAACTGCCAAAGGGTAATGCCTTCAAAACCCTAGAGGCAGGGCAAAAGTAAGCCCATCTCAGTTAAAGTAGTAGCTAGTGTATAATTCAGTTGGAGCCGAGTTTTTAATTCTGAATTTCTTCTATATTGATTTCTAGTCATTAAATCTCTTGGTACCACAGTGGAAGTGCTGGGCAGTAGATGTATTTGCTTCCTTTGGCAGCCAGGCACTGATTTTAAGCATCTGAAAAGAAATAATAACAACGGATGTAACGTCTTGGAGGCTGGCTAGCTTGATGTATGTAATACAAGCTTTGGTTTTGTCTCTTTGTTATGGGGAGTTGGCTCCCCCTACCCAAACAGCTTTCTGCTACATGCTGCCTAGTTGGTGAGCATCTGGTATTCCTCTTTTTGGTTAAAAGTCCTTAGAATCATTTGGTTGGGTTTTTTTTTGCCATTTTTCAGTGTTACAGTACAGAAAAAAAAAAAATCTTATTAGGCTTCTGCTCCGGCATTTGCTTCTGGAACCCACTCATAATCCTGACTGTTTCATTGCAGAAAAGGTTCTTGTATAATTAGCTAAGTATGTTAATGCTGTTGTATTTCTGCAGCCTTCTTCCTCTGACCATGTGCCTTTCTTCCTGCTCATGCTGATATTTGGCTGTGTCTCATCTCATGGTGAGAGATAGTTATGTGATGTGTGTATGTTTGGTATCTGTTGCTAAGGTTAATTTTCTTCTAGTTCAGCCTCTTGAATCAATTTGCTGCATGAGGATATGAGGGTAACTACTGGTGCAGAAATTGGAGTAGAAAATGCGCAAAGCGGGAGGTGAGCTTACAATAGTTACTGGTTTAGCTTAGCCTATCCTCTTGTAAGACTGTACTCTGAGATGTTTCAAAGGAGGTTCTTCTAAGGTGTAGTTATTAGTGTTGGTTCTTAACATTAATGGTTTGGATACCTGATGAACTGTCTTGCGAGTGCAAGCCCTAAACTTACTTGGAAGGCTACTGGTGATGAAGAGAAGGCTGTACTGGGAGTCGCATATCTGTGACATTTGCAGCAGTGTCACCAGCCATGTTACAATCCTGAAGTAAAAGAACTCTCACTTAAAATGCAGATATTAAAACCTGTATAATAACTAAATTAAAAATATCCATATCTTCCTTTGGATTTTCCCCAAATGCATAGCCTGCTGCAGATGTTGATATGATTCCCTTCACAGCAGTCATTCCGGTTTAATTAAATATCAGCACTTGCTGACAAGAATATTTTTATTCTGTAAGCACATGAGAATACAGAAGAAACTGAAACTTTACATAGCAAAGGTCATGGTAAGGAGTTTGTCGGAAAGTTCCTGAGCGAGTCAAGCTGTTTCTCTGTGCTTTTTGTCACGTTTGCAAATTTCCTTAGGGGATAAGATGAGCCTCTGCTCATCCACTGTGGTGTTGTCATTGTTCACTGCTTAATGTGTGGAGCTGGAGAATCTTATCTGCTCCCTTCTTCAAGCACGTTTTGGGGATCTGCAAAGGGGCTGAAGTGTTTAGGGTGAAACATGAGTAATCTCATCACTGAGAGAGACTAGAGTTGGCAATTATCAGGCACTGACTGGTTTTGTGTCCAGGAGTTCCTGTAGCTGTTCAAGTTCAGGGGTCTCGAAGTGGGTGTTGGTTTTCTTTTCAATATAGGCCAAGAGAAGTTAAACCCATCTGAAAATGTGTAAGCCACCTGAATTTCCGAAATGCCTTCTAAGGTGCATAATGAAATATGCTTAAGTTGTCTTGGCCATTTGCTTTTCTTCTCCACTCCTTCCCTTTCTCAGCCACCAGTTGTTGTAACAAATACTAGGTACAGTTACGAACACCAAGTTTTTCCTATCATAATCTCTGCTGCTGTTACCATCTTGTTGCCAGATACCTTGAAAACGGCCAGAAACTCAATTGCTTGATGGCTGTGCTCTCTTGTTGAGACCTGCTTATTTTTATGCGCAGAGTTTTTAGATTTTAGCTTTGGAACATTTGAATCCTGCAAACTGTTGAAGCCAGAGATGGTTCCTCTTCACTGTTTCAGGCATCCTTGCTATGTTGTAGAAAGTTTTCTTTATTTCACTTGATAAAAGCATTAAGGTACTGATTTACTTTGATAGCACTACCAGTAATAGTTTGTATCAACCTGCAGCAAAACATTTCTTGGCCCTTGAAGAAGAAGGTGACTGGAAATAGCATGGCATTCATTACCAGGGGTCAGTCATGCTTGACCCATCTGACTGCCTTCTGTCAAATGACTAAGTCTTCAGGTGAGGGTAGAGCTGTGGATGTTTGTGGCTTGGTTTGTTTTTTTTTTTTCACTTTGACCTTAGCAAGGCTTTTTACAGCATCCCACAGCATACTCCTGTTTACAGTCTGAATGGGAGGATGACTGGATAAAGTTAAAACCAGTTGAAAAGTTGTCTCAAAGGGTAGCTGATAGTTCATACTCTGCCTATAGAGTAGTTGCAGCTGGAGCTCCTCAAGTTTTTGAATTTCATAGTAATCATTATGGCTTGTCTCTCACCTGCCTTCACCCATTTTTCCAAACCTTGTGGTAAAACAAAGCAATTTCTAGAGCATTTGCTTTTTGAAGTTACTGGTGGAAAAAAAGAGACTGGAAAAGGAAACTAAATCACAGTTTCTCTGAGATCGATTCACTTCCCTCTTTGCCCAGGCCTGTGAAAAGAAGCTGTCATCCCAGATGCTGCAGGTAGACATCTCCAAAATAAAGGTTTCGGGTAGATTCGTGCTGCAGAAGTTGTATGCTGGTATAGTGGGCATAGTGGGTTTAACTATGGTAGCCCTGGGTTTAACTATGGTAGCCCTTCTCATATCTTTGTGAGAACTTTCTTTCTTTGTAACCAAGATGATTCTGGTGAATAGTCAGATGAGTTTATGCTTTTGATTTTTAAGAAATTTGTAGCGTAACAGGCTTCTTCGTTGTGGTTTCCATGCTTTAGGTTTAGTTTGAATCTCAGCTTTTTAGCCTTTCTTCTCCTTCAAGTCTGGGAACTGGATATATTCTTGTAAATGACTGCATTAGTATGCCAGACTTTTCCATCCTCTCAACACTTGAACAGGCATGCATATGCAGAAATGTATGCAGCCTTTCTCTCTTACATGGTTTACATATTCCTGGTTTGGAAATGGGTTTGCTTACATGTGGTGGTGGAATGTATTGATGGTGGGAGTTTCTTGGCAAGTAGTGGCCATTGAAATGTGTAGTTCAGATCATTTCATGCTTTCATCTCTGACAAGTGAAAGGTATTCATGTGATCTTTTGCTGCGTAACCGTAGACAACCAGGAACTTCTGGACTAACGTGGCCGTTTACAGTCAAGTTGCTACTAAGCAGTTCTTGAATATTGTGTCGAACTAGCAGAGAAATTGGTCAATCCTTCCATCTTGCTACTTTCAGACTCACAGGCTCTTCTGCTTTATTCACCCCTTACATACAAGGAAGAGTCTAAAGTGAATCTGTATCAGAAGGACAAAAGATCTGGAAGAAATTTTACTTTTGTACTACACTTAAGGTAAGACTGATCAGATGACAAAAAGCATGAATACCGAGGCTTGCAAAATGGTACTGTTTCTGCATTCTTGGCTTCTTGCATATTACACTATTTCTGCAGAGTATTGTGAGTATGTATTAAGTATTAAATACTCCCACATAATTCTCTGGAAATACACTAATGATCAGAGGCATATAAGCTATCTGCGGCTGTGTTCCTTAACTAAAATAAAGTATGTTGTTAGTTGTAGCTGATGTTTACTGTGCAAAGCTGTCTTTTGGGTCGCATAGGTGTTCCTACTTCTAAAACTGGTACACTGAGCTGCATGATACGCAATGGCATGTCATACTAAATTACCAATGCCTTAGTAACTCTTTCTGGTTTGCTTTTAGGTCCTGTGCTTAGCCATTTGTAATTTCTCTGTGAATACAATATTATAGTTCTTGAGTACGTTTCTAGTCGATTTCCAAATATCGGGACATAACTGGGAGTCAGCTTGCTGTGCTTTGGAAGGAGTGAAAAATGCATTTCTTTCAGTAAAGCCATAGCTTCAAGCGCATGAACAGTTGCAATCTGTCTGCAAGTTAGAGCACCGATGAAGTGATAGGAGCCATTAGCATCATTTGTCAGAGTGATACCATTGCCTTCAGCTTCCACTCACAGTTTAATTAGATGTCTAATAATATTTGTTGTGCTGTGCCTACACTACTGGATGGATATCACAGTGGAGGGAATATTGCTAGGAGTAGGGGGATAAAACCTGTAGCGGAACAAGTGGAATTCCTGCCAGTGGGACCAGTGTTGGGGATAATGCTGACTGGGGTAGCTGTTCACGGCGTTCAAGGGTAGAACTAAAAAAGTGGTAGAGAGGTATAGAAAGGCACATAACTATCCCTTGCCGAGACAGTAGTTTGTGTAAGAAGGGGAATGCAAGGCCATGGTATCCAGCCATTGAACAGATGGTGGAGACATTCACATGGAGTCACTTAGAAGGACGTAGGAGATGTTTGGGGACTGGAAAGTACAAGTAGCACTTCATGTAGGCAGCTGATTGCCTAATGCTAGCTCTTCAATTTTAGGGAGGTGGAAACCTACTGAAATTGGTTGGCACTCATGCTGAATTCAGCATCCATTTGAAGGCTCACATCAGCAGTCTTCTATTGATGTACCAGTTTCTAATTTGTTGTGACTCTGGTTCTGTTTTTTTATATAGTAGGTTTTACTGAATTATCTGTGTAATCCCCAAGCTGAATGTCTACCTTTCTTTTTAAACTGCTAAATTCATCAGATTCTTTTAGTTGTTGTTCTGCAAAAGCCTAAATACTTACGAGTGTTCCTTTGTGTGGCTTGATGTTATTTTTTATGGATACCTAGTTTTATCCAGGCAGTTCGTTCTATCTCAGAATACATGCGGGCTAAGGTTTACATGTAGTTAAGTGGCAAGGCTGAGATGCGAGCTCTGGAAGATAGAAATAATTTTAAAGTATCTTGACATGTTGCCTCTCTAAATAGGATGAGAGAGTAGGGTGTTTGCCCCCACACTACAATTAACGTGGGGTTTTTATGCGCCTTTGCGCTGATTTCCCATCACCATTCAGTCCAGCAAGGGCATGTCTTGCAGCCAACAGCTTACAGGAGCACTAACCTTTGATGGAGCTGGAGATGGTGTCTTAATCTGTGTTATCCACATTTGCCTGCAGCTAATGTCTGACCTGATGAGTAGCGTAAAATGAATGTTGAATTATTAACATGCTTGCTTCCTGGAATCCTTTTTGCTGTCAAGTCTATGTAGGCCTATCATTACTGCATTGACTGCCTGTAATGCCCTTAAGCACCCTCTCTGATTTTTTTTTTTAAACTGGCATGGTCTTCTTGCATGTTAGTTTTAACATTCTTATTGACAAAATTGCCCTTTGAATTTTTGCAGGTGTAGTTCGACACCTATTACGATACTTGCATAATAGCAAAATTAAAACAGTTCTTAGTCAATAGATATATCTGAAATTGCAGCATTGAAATACATGTTGCAAATCAAGAGAGTTTAAACTGTATTGGTTTAAAGTGAGTCAGTGATTTATTGTGAAACTGAAGTTGTAGTGCTAATTGGGCAAAACCTTTGAGTATTTAAGCTTGCGAGTTGCCGAATGGCTGCTTCTTGCAAAGTACTCCTCTGTTTAGATGACAAGTGAAGCAGTTCAGATAGCCTCAATGCAGATACCTGAAAATGATTCCATGTGTCCAGGCAACGATAACTGGAGGCTGCTGCCAGAAAAAAAAGGTAATGGAAATTTGCTTCACTCTGCAGTTCCTAGAAATAGTAATTTTTGTAATTAGACTTCAGACTTGTAAAGAAGAGGTTTCTCTAGCCTGCTGGAAAAGTAGGGCATGCAATAAAAGTGCAGGGGGGAGTACTGTGTTCTCTGAAGTAGTCTGACAAGCCATTTGTGATCTGAAACTTAACTTCATATACCACGCTGTGGCTTGAATAGTATGTATCATGTGATTACAGGTGTATTGATCCTGTTAGAGTACAAGAGAATACCATTACATATCATTTAGGACCAGCTGCTTCTGAAGTGTTTGTTTAGAGCTGCCTTAAAAATGCTTTGAGATATGCCTTTCTTGAAATGAACCAAAACCCTGATCAGTTCAACTGGTTTGATTTAGGAAGGTGGTAAATCTGTGTTAGCAATAGGGGAGTAACTTTCGAAGTAAATAGACCTCTTACAAATTTTAAGATGTCTTTGCATTTCTGCATGCTGATTCTTTTCATTTACCCAAAGACAGTGCTGTTACTGAAGTAACTTTACTAGTAGCTAGAAAAAACTTCTTAACATGGAAGAAACCAAGGGGAAAAAAAAAAGATGTTCTAAAGCTGTAATTGAGGGATAAAAATAACTATGTGTTTTAACAATTCCTATTTGGAGCCTTCAGTTCCCATGTTATTTAAATTAGTTCTTTTGGAAGATTGTGTGTGTAGGCTGTTAGTTGATATAACAGATGCTTGAATTATCTCTTTCCAAGTTGCGTGTTTTGCAGTAAACATTAAAATGCCTATAGCATAGTAAGTGTTAATATTTGGCAGCTTGTAGTACTGGTGTTCTTATGCTACTGATTTGAATGTGCTGGTGGTTTTATTATGGTGTTGAACGACTTTTTTTTTCTGTTTAATTTAACTCTTTTTTTTTGTGTATAAGCCTAGCAAGTGGTAATATGGCTAAAATAAAACCACAGATAGATCCAAGTGGCTAAATAGTGCAGCAGAGAATTTGTGCTTCCGATAACTACACATCAGCTGTATCCAAATTTATTTTAATCATCTGTGATGGCTCAGGTTAGTTCATTTGAACCTGAAGGCTTACCCTTAGAAAGTGGGGGAAGAATAAGACTTGCAGAGAGGTGAAGTCCTTCACCTAATCATCAGTGTCATATAAAGAAATAAAAAAACATTCTTGCTGTCCCTTATAAATTTGATACAACTTGATTTGTCATTGTCAAACATATCAACATTAGGGAATTCTTCCTGTATTTTCTGAACCTGGTGCTAACTGAACTACTGTGATTTTTTTGACCTTTTTCCCTTGTTTTTTCACTCCACTTTGCAGACTTTAAATTCCTTCTGAATTTTGGTTATACTTATGGTCCCGCTTAGGTTTGTGTGTTTTGTACATGTAAAATGGGGGGAAAAGTGATTAGCTGGCATATGTATTGTAATGGCTTCAGTCCGCTGACAAAATGTGATGCCGTTGTGCCTTTAAGAATACATTTTGGGATATTTGCTATAAATACAGGATTGGTACAGAAAGACATGTTCTAGAAACCATGTTTAAGCTTCCTTCTGTAAGGAGAAGCACAAATACAGGATGTGATATAGAGGATAAAATAAATTGTTACTGGCTTTGATAGTGATAGCAAGACTTGATCTAAAAGCTGACTTGTTCTGAATGCATTGTGAGACACTAGATGCTAGGATGAGATTCTCTACCCAGATAAAAAAGTTAACTTTTGGGAACTCCAACTCTTGGCTCTAAACTGAGCATTGTTTAGAGAAGAGTTATCAAGACAGCCTTCACAATATCTGTTCTTCCCTTGTGTAAGCATTTCCTTTGGAAGACTCAGGGATATTAATCCTTTGAAAACTGTCAGACTTCCTGCTTGTATCCTAGACCTAGAGCATCTTAAAATTTTGGAGAAAATTGCCAGCAGACAATTATGTCAGGTTTCTTACCTCTTTATCCTGTAATGTTTTGAAGTCTGCAACAATGGAGTTTCTTTATTATCCAAATGCACATGCTTGCTACAAAACCAGATCCAAAATCTCTTGCTTTCTCTGATTTTCCTAAGAACTGGTTCTGTAGGAGTTTTTTATGGTATTACATTTAAGATGTTTTCTTGAAAGCCTTAGCTGGAAAAGGCTAAGCCCTTTCTACTGCATAATCAACAGAAAAGTTTTTTATTTGGAAGATTACTCCTGAATTTGAGTAATACTGTGGCTTGGTAACACCTTGCTCTTCTTCTCCTGGGGAAAGGATTGACAAACTTTTTAGTACTGCTAGAGTAGATAGAGTGGACGAGACCCCTCACTTCTGTGAGGGACATGCCATTTAGGCTCAGAGCCCTTCTGAATAGATGTGCTCTGTAATACTGTCAGATGCCAGGTGTGGTGGATTCTTTCTCAGAACATTTAACCAGTGCTCAGGTTGTATTTTCTGATTGTTTTAAGCAGATGGATATTTACAAAATCTAAGTAATGCACCTGGAGTGACTATTTTTTTTTTTTTAAACACTGATTTGAAGGCCAGATGTTCACAAAGGCAACAAATGGACAGATGGTTTCAAACTGACTCATTAGCTTTTGCTACCTAGGTATTCTAGCTTGTAAGATGGTAATAAATTTACCTCATAGGGAAACACCATAGGAATGTGCTCAAAAGAGAGGCACTTCAGTACACTCTAGTATGTCTGAGCTGCAATTCTGAATCTCCATCAAGAAGATGGATGTTTGCATACTCTGCCCTTTGCATTAAGAAAAAAAGAAACACAAACCCATGCAGAGTATGAATGCATCTTCCTCAATCTGTAACTCCTGGATTGCCATGGAAGGTGTAAAGCATGTCTAGACCTTTACTTACAGCTATAATGTAATAATATAACGTAGAGAGTGATATGTATAATAGGAGCTTGTTAGAGACTTTTGTATGCTCTTCTCTAGAAAGTCCTAGCAGTCCCAATAAACATCTTAGTTCAAAGTAGAAGTCCTCTGCTTACAATCCTTCTTCGTGGTTTTAATTGAGATTTTTCTGCAAAAACCCACTAACATAAATGAACCATATTTTAACTCTTGAAGATAGTCTCTTCTTAGGTCAGCTAAAGATCAGATAACTGAAAATCTGAGGTTTCGTACTTGGATATTTTTACTGAAGCATGTTAGATGGCTTTTCTCTTCAGTGTTCCTGAAACTGGATGTTTGAAAAGCTGTCCAGCATAACTGATGGAGAGAAGATTCCTTATTTCTGTGCTTGGTTATGTTAAGCATTACTCTGATCTGTTGCAGGAGAACAGGAGGAGTAAGTGCTTGCCATTGATCTCCCAGTAGGCAAATGTATATTGCATACGTGCATTCTGAATTCTAGTAAGGCTGGCTTTTGGTATTCCTCATCTTCTGCTCATATAATTCAATAGAGTTTGAGTTACTCATCAGCTTCATGAGCAGTCTCTGCTTCAGGCATTCACTTGTACCAGCATAACTATCTGTGTCTGTTGCTCAGCCACATAGCGTGGAAATAGGAATGAGCTGCTGAGAACAAATACTGCTTAAGCCATCACTGTTACCAAGACATCTGCATAGCCATAATGTGAATTTACTGATCTAAAGCTTACCTAAAAGAGAATTACAGAGAATTTAGGAATTAGAGGTGCTTTACAAATATATATTAAAGATAATAAATATTTTTAATGTATTTTTAAATATATATTTTGCAGGAAAAAAGTTTGGAATAGCTTTTGTAAGATGTATCAAAATGCAGCTTTCCAGTGCTGTAGATTAAGCCCACCATTTGTGAGGTGATACTTAAAAGTATAGACCTAATTAGAATGCTAAGCCCATAGTACTATCAAGCGTTTAGACAAGTGTGAAATACTAGTCTAATAGTGTGTTTCTGTTGGAAATTCAGTCTTGAATAGTTCCAATGACTAACTGGCAATAAAAGTTGGAACTGCAGACTTGAAACTGCTGAACCAAATTTTCACTAGAACCCCAAGTAAATTTATTTCAAGGCAACATTTAGATTTTTAAGAAGCTCTGGGTGTTCTGAAATGCAGTGGCAAGATACCATTCCGCTTCTTCACAACTGTTTCAAAAAGGATTAAACACTTCAAAATTACTGAGTTCTTAGTTTAACTTTTGCTTATTCTCCTTTCTTTAACTGTTGTAATAATGAACGTCTTAATGCAGCTTCCACATTTGAAGGGGGGAGATGGAATGGGACAGTGTAAAAAGCCCACAGCCACAAAAACACAAACCAAGGCTTTGCTTAGTCTTGGCTGATTCACAATGTTTTTGTATAGAACCAAGTACCGCTTAGCAGATGCAGAGAGAATTCATTATCCTTTTATTACAAAGGATGAGCAACTTTCTCTTCAGGGTGAAAGTTGCACATTGTCTTAAGTAATTACACATAAATTAACTCCTGTTTTAGTTCAGGCTTTGTCATATATGTAGACTAAGGGAGAGCTATGACATGAACTTGAAGTACAGCTGGTGCACTCCCTTGGTGTGTGCTCTAACGTTCCTGGGAAAAAATCAGGTAACCTAATGAATGCCTCTTTGAGGACAGAGATGTTATCTTATGTTTACTGTATGCTAGGAACATGCAATTGGGAGACGCAATATATAGCTAACCTGTGGTAAGCTTACACTAGTGCTCTTTTCCTTCTCCTTCCTAGTATCTTTTACTTCTGCAAAATCTGTTACTGTCTTCGGTGTGAGCCAGTTTACAGTGCTGGGGGATGATAGCAGTGGTGGTATTGTGATGTCATGACGTCAGTTATGACACATCAGATTATAGCTCTTTCTACTGATATTCAGGGAGAGGGTTGGTTGCTTATTTACTTCTTTTAAAGCAGCAATGATTTGGTTATCTGTAAAAGGCCAGTCATAGCTGTCTGTGGAGCAGAATAAAGCCTGTTTTCCTGGTGCTTCTCTGCCCAGAAACTTGCAGAGGACTGGTTGTTGTCATGGGCTTGTGTGTTTTAAGCGTTAGGATCCAGCTTGAGGATCATTAGTGTTTTGCTACTGGGGTGTATGTATTTTATCATTGGGGAGACCAGAATTTGATGGTCTTTTTCATTTGCTTACTTTTGAATATTGGGTTTAGTTCTTCAGCAGTGATTTGCTTATGATGGCTTTGGCTGCATAGTCTTTACCTTCCGAGAAAATACTGTAAACATGGTGAAATTCAAATTCTCTGTTAGCCAAGGAATATTTAAGTTGTGCTTAATTAACAACTGTTCTACTGTAGAGTATTAGTTTCTTAATAGCAAAAACTGTAGAAGTTTACTGAACTAAGTCCTACTCAGATGTTAAGCGTTTTTACATGCTCGAAAGATCTAAGGAGCCCAAATTAAATACTTAATAGGTCTTGTTATTTTGTTAAGCCTCTAATAGGAAGCATTCAGCTTTATTCTGGGGATGTAATTTATGATGAGCAATCTGGGTAACACGTTTTCATTGTGTATGTGAGCATTTTCTGTGCATGAATTTTTGGGAGCTGGATTCAATAGCTTGTTATCCCAAAGCTGTATCAAGAATCTAAGTGTCTTTTAATATGGAAAAAAGAATTGTGCTGCTTATTTGGAGAGGCAGGAGTCACTACTGTATAGAAGTAGGTAAGGAGTAGTGTCCCCTCTTCATGCAATGTTCAGTCATGGAGTTCATATCTTAAGATGTTACTGTGTTTTAGGATACTGCATATAGTATTTCTCACTTCTGATAATTAAGGTATAAATAGGAGCATATTCTGGGGTAAGATGCTGTTAAACTACAATATATGTGAAGCTGCCCTACTGTAAGCTGCCTAAGGTTAAAAATCACCTGTGTCTAATGAATGCTCTCATGTCCTCTGCAGAGTAAGAGAATTTGGGAGAGGTCAAGCCTCTTGCTTCTGGGAAGCATAATACTTGTCTTCCGGTCTGCTTTTTTTAGTCAGCCACTTCTGACACTACTCTAGTAGCCTTTAGAACTGAGGCTTTTGAGCACTTCATCCTGCAAACCCCCTGTACCCTCCTAATTAAGGGGATCTTCCGAAGGTGGAAGGAAGTTCTTGAAGGGAGTTGTGTTCTGTGTTAATGCCCTTATCACTGATGTAGTTAAGAGGGAATTAGGGGTTATTTTGTGCAGCTCTGTGAAGCTGTACTGCTTGTGTTTTGTTGTGTTGGGCTGTTCTCCCCCCCCCCCCCCAAGCTCTTGGATGTGGAAACAACTCTTCTTTTACTGAAACATTTTACCTTTTGGGGGAGGGCTTTTGCCATGTAGTCCAGTACAACGATTTAAGGTACTTGCTGTCTAGTTCTTTCAAAATACTTTTCCAGAGTTCATTAATGATTTAGTGCTAGTTAAGGTGTAATTTCACAATGCTCTGGGCAAATCTGAATCCGCAGCAGCTGCTGGTTCTACCTTTCTGTCATTGGCACTTGACTGCATTTCCTGAGCTGGTTCAGAGAGCTCAAGTGGCAGAAAGTAATTTACCTTTTCTGGCTTAGTTTGATTCCTTGAATCGTCTGTTCTGTTGTGGTGCCTGAGAAGGCAGAATGTTGGGGAAAATACAGGGCTTGAAGCATTACAGGCATAAAACTTACTGAACCTCTACAGTTCTTCAAACAGCAGCACAGTATTCCTCTTGAGGAATTTCTTGTTTATGACGCTTTATGGTAGCTGAAAATGGCAAACCATTATGAAATGTTCTCATAGCTCCTTTCTTCAATCGACAGGCTTAAAGTCAAGGTCTGTAGTATGTCTCCCTTTATCACTCATTCAGTTCATCAAAGTCCTGTAATCAGTTGAAAATCATCAGTGTTACAGTAAGGGCTTGTATTTTCCTTGTGCCCCAGACAAAGCTGGCTGTTACGGAGACTTCTTCCTGTGACAGTTCCTTCTACCAGTGTACTCTCATGGTAACTTGTGTTAAGATGCAACAGTTTATAAGATTAAATACGTAGTCCCTGACCCATGAAGGAATTTGGACATTTGCATCCCGCTTAGGTGGATGCACACATTTAAGTTGTTAGTCATCTGCTGCTTTTGCATTTTAAGCTGAGTTTATGATTAATTTCGTAAGAGCTTCCTCAAAAGAAACAGTGATTCTTATTTCAGAGGAGCTGAGATACTTTTGCAACTGAAGCTTACTGCTTTTATTTTAAACTCTTGTGCATTTTTATCTAAGTAAGCACAATAAAGACCTTACAAATTATACATGCTGCATTTGGTGGGTTTAAGTCTTGTCAAGTACTCAAGGGATACTCTGTCATTGGAGCAGGGGAATAAAATTAAGCAAATACCATGAGCAGGCATGCAAAAGCTGTTCCTTCTGATACTGAATTGAAGGACTTGAGTACTAGGTGATAGGCTAGATGACTTTTTAAGTGCTGTGGTGGTGAAGGAAATAAGGAAAATGAATCTTTGTGAGTATTAATCTTTAATATGATGTTTAGAGAGTGTACTGGAAGGTCTTTTGACATCCAGGCATGGCTTTAGTTCAAGCACTTCTATTTAGGAAAAAGTTATATTCATGAAAAAAATTCATGTACAAATCTGTTGTAAACCATCTGGAGTAGCTAACTACTTTCCTTGTTTCTTTTAGGAAATACCAAAATAAAGCAGATGCTGTGTCCTGTATGGTTATCTCAAGGTTTTGCAAGTCATTCTGTTATGTGCTTCTTGGCAGCAGGAATGTAAACTAATTCTTCGAGCACGGAACTAGAACCTTGACAAAGTTGCAGTTACAGGTAAGAACAAATTCTGTCACTTGGAAATTTACAGGAAAGGTTTACTTGCTTTTTCTTTAGCTGTGTTTTAACTTGCAGTTTGTAATTGGCCAAGAATTTAACAGATATTTCAGAGTAGATTGGATAAAAGGATGTGGTCTTCTCTAAAAGCACTTGAGTTTTGCCTAATCTTATTTGGGAAGAATTTGAACTTAAAGTACAGCTTTTCTCTGCTCTGGTACAAAGCTCTTTCCAAAATTGGAAAGAAAAGTAATCTTTCAACACCTAAATATATGCTGACCCAGAGTTTGAACAAGGTATATGCTTACACAAAGGACTGTACGGTGTCAGTCTGTAAAAGTCATGAAGTGTTTTGCCACTGTGCGTTGAGGTCAGCTTGCTGTCTGCAGGTGGCTTTTTCTCCTCAAGGTCTGTATTTCCTTAAATGCACTAATATCAGCAGTACTCCTTAAGTTGCCTTTTTTAACTTTGCTATAGAAAATCTCTAAATTCTTTTTACAAATTCACTGTAGTTTCAACTCCTGAATCACCTTTTCAGGGGTAGAGGTTGATGTCTTCTTCCAGGTCAGTGAAAATGTTTTGGCTGCTTGTTTTCTATCATAACTTTATCTGACAGTGATGGAGATAACTCTTGTCCCACTACTCAATCACTGTATTCTAAACTTGGGTGTAGGGCCCTACAAACCTATATTTAAAAAAAGAAACAAAACAGAACCAAACCACCACAAATACCTGTCACTGAGATTGCATATTTTGGATGTATATTTCTGAGTAATTTATTTATGTTTTTAAACAGGGAGTATGGTTTTTGAAGACTATACGTGAGATAGCTTTATTGCATATGCTGAATCTGCAGAATTATGATCAAGTTAAGGCCTTTCAGTCTTGATTTCACATTTTGGTGTCTTTGTCAAGAAAAGTTGCTTGCCTTAGGCTGCACTTTTTTTTTCCTTAGTGGTAGGACAGGAGTCTGCACTGTTGATATAAAGCAGACTAGTATGTCTTACTCAGAAGTTGGATGATGCATGGGTCAGTGACAGGAGAGTCAGACAGTGCTGAGGAGATGACTTTGTTTTGCTGCTACAATGAAAGAAGGATTCAAATGTGGTTTGGGGTTTTTGGTTGGGCTTTTTGTTGTTGCTTGTGGTTTTGGTGGGCGGTTTTTTTTGTTACTGTTTTGATTGAATGCTTGTACTTAATTTGCAGTGATGTAACAGGTTGAAAAAAGGCACAACTCTTGTATTGTCATAGACTAATTTATCTTGGAGTGGACCTCTAGCACTCATTTAGCCCAACCCTCTGTCTGACTTCCTCAGATTTTTGTGTAAATCAACAGGTCACTGCTCAATTATGTAAATAAATGGCTTGGTGTTTTACTGTGGTTCTACAGACCTGCTTATTCCGGACTTTCAGACTTGTTTAGGAACAATTTATTGGTGATATGAATTGGTGATTCACTGCTACCCCATTCTCACAAAAATGTGTGTGAAGCTTTTAGTAAACAAACATTAAAAAAGGTAGGAAAAGTTGTCTTAAATGCCTAAATCTAGAATAAGGGATGACTCATTTCTAGCGACACACTGCGTCATGCTAATGAGTAAAATAAGCCTTCAATTTTAATACCAGTAGTGTATTGGCTAAACATTGGTTCTCTTTCTTCGAAGTTTTAGATGCTGTTTGTTTAAAAATTCTGGCTGGTGGTGATTAGATTAATGATCGAAAAGGAGCAAACTAAATTTAAACTCAGAATAGTTGGTCTCCTGTTGAATTTAAAGAACAAAAAAAGAAGATTCAAGTAATTCTGCATAGAGATAACTATAAACTTTATTATGGAAGAACCACTTTTATACTAGGGCAATGCTTTGTTATATTCAGGTGCCGCATGTGTATCTGGTTTGAATAGCCTAGCGAAGAAGTAAGAGCATGCTTATTGGCTACAGGAAGTACAAATAGATACAGGGAAACAAAAGGAAATTCAGTTAATATCATGCAATGTAAACCTTGTCGTAGTGTGGTCAGTAGGGACAAACAAGCCACAGTACTTTGTGAAGTTCACTTTTCCGACTTTATGTAAAGGTGAACCTGCATGATAAAGGCATGGTGACTGTAAAAATGCATCAACCTGATCACTTACGGCTTTGTACTATATGCTGTGATTGCAAAACTACATTCAGAGCCCACTTTAAGGTTTTTGTGAAG